TCTTCAAGAAGCTATACCACATAAACTGTCCTGATTATTTGCTATTATCTAGATAGCTTTCTAACCCTTCTTCGTTAATTAAAATCGCTAAATATAATAAATAAGAGATAGAGGAGGTTCTCAATATACGTTTACAATATAACAGGTTATAATATAAGCTAAAATAGACTAGAGGGGATCCTGACGAGATATAATACCCAGCTAGGAACGTCCAATATGCTTCTTAACATATAAAAGACTTCCACGACTGTTATTTTAAGAAGCTAGGCCTTTTGAGATGTCTAGATAAGTGGATTCGGGCTGTCTTGAACGAAGAAGAAGACGATAAAGGAGCGTCTAATCATCTAGAGGATGACCTATTGGCGACGAGAGATGGCGATTGACATATTATTAGCAAAACTCACTCTATTTCCTCTTTAGGACGTCATGTGACCACGTGCCCTGCAAGCTCAAGGGGCTGAGCTTAGGTTTTGTCGGGGGGTAGTGTTAGGTAGACCTTGACAAAACCCGACTTGGGTCCAACTTTCAGAACCTAACCCAACCTGCAGGTCCAAAAGTTAAACCTATACCTAACCTGCAGGTTACCCACGGGTTGGGTTTCGGGTTCTTAGCAAACCCGTGCTAGCCCAGAGCTAGTATAAATCGCCTAGAAAGGAAGATCTTGGCGTGCATAACTTGATGATTACTTACAATTAATTACTATTCTTTACACATATTTAGTTATAACTAAATAATTCTTACTTTTAGAGTAGTTAATTACTTGAAATATTATAAAATGATTATATTTATAGGATCTATATAAGAAGTTGCTATTATTTTACTAATTAAATTTACAAAATCAGATAATAGTAATATAGAAATCCTATATTTGTATGTTTTAGCTATATCTATAATAGAAATATATATCTAAATATTACAATCTCTCTTTATATACTATAAATTATGGTTTCCTCTAAACTTTTAGTCTAATTCTTTGAATTTGGATATTTTTATTATTTTAATGAAGTAAATAATACTTAGATTTATTAAAAATCATTATAGACAATAAGATTTCCACAATCTTTATATCCAAATCAATATTTAAAGATTTAGATCAAAGGACTTAGAAGAATTAAGACTTAAAGATAGTTATATGGGTAACTTACGGGTTACCCATGGGTCCTATGGGTTACCTGTGGGTTACCCGCGGGTTTTCTAGATTACTCGTTTAATAAGCTAATTATAATGATAGTATCTATTTATTGTAGATCTAGAAATAATAGATTATTTTAAGCAAGAATTAATTTAGGGTTAAATTGATCCCTCTTTATGGAGTAGTAGTACTCTAGTACTATAGGTATATAGTTCTTTTCTATTAAGATAATTACAATCTTCTATCTTATATTGTCCATTTTTATATTCTTTCTAATTATATTTATAATATTATAATAAGAAAGCTAAGTCTTTTAATTATTTAATATATATACCTTATTGTTATTTGATATTGATAGAGTTGACTCTTTGTAGACTATCTCTTTAGACGATATCTCGATTCCTTTTAATTTATACTATCTAACGCTATTAATAGTATCTAATCTAAATGAGAGTATCTTTTAATGATCTTGTCTTCTTTTTCTAGAGTCTCTATCTTTAATTGAATAATATATATCCAATTGAATAAGATTCTATTTTATTTATTTAATTGATATAATAGATAAATAAGAAGAATTTATTTAGTAGTAGTTGTAGACTGGATTTGAACAACGAAGAAGGATCTATTAGAATATATGTTATTTATTAGTAGTCTGGTAACATTTTTTTAAAGTGGTAGATAGAAAGATAGGCGCTCTAAAAGTTAAGTATTTAAAATACAAGGCTCTACTTGATTATCTAGATTTAGACAATGGTACTTTTATGATAAGTAAGTATATTCGAAAAGGTGAATGCTAGTGGATATTTAAAGGCCTAGATATTAAGTAATTTATTTAATTAGTATAGTATTAGTCTTATATCTTTTTTTAGTTATATAAAGCTAATTTATATCTAGAATAGAAGTTTATTTTAAATAGTTACAGCTATTATATAAGAGAGCTAGGAAGATATTTAAATTAGATTTCTTATAGACTCTAATCTTCTCTAGAAGCTTTTAAAATATCCTAGCTTCTGTGACCTGATTTTAATAGCTCAATATATAACCTTGAGACTAGATCTCTTTTATTTATAAATCGCTTAATATCGAGTGACTGCAGAGATTGCTTCTCGCTAGGAAGAGGTTTTAAAGTCTCTTCTAATAGGAGTTAAAATATCTTTTGCTTTTGATTACTAGACTTCCTTATTTATAGATATATTTATAGCTATTATTGTCTATTTTTTAGATTAGAATTGGGAGTATCGGGAGGTCTTGTTTAGTTTTGAGTCTATCTTTAGATCATATACTGATATGAATTTAAGTATAGTAGTAATAGATATCCTCTAGAAATATAAGTTAATAGATTGAGTACTTACAGTAACAATTAATAATATATCTAATAATATTATATTTCTAGAGAAGCTCTAGGACTATATTAAACTTTTTAAATTAGATGATAATGCTATAGTTATTTATATCTTATATCTTGTATATGTGATCCAACTAAGTCTGAAAAGTCTTCTTAAAGAGATAAAGATTACCTTTAACAATAATATAACCGAGAAAATCTAGAAACAAGGTAACACTACTTGCCCTCGAGATCGAAAAAGTGATATTATTGATACACTTAAAAAGATTTAGATTCTAAAATCTGATTCTAAATTATATACTAATATACCTTTTAGATCTAAAAGCTTATTATTTATATAAATAGTAGCTTACAATACTAGGAATAATTCTTTAAGTTATAATCCAATTCATCAAAGCTTATTTTTATTTAGGATATACACATCTAATAGAATTTAATATTTCTGATACTATATTACACAAAAAGCTTCGACCGATCTTTAATTAATATTATCTTCAAGAGAATCTTACCAATCTTATACTTGATCAAGAGCATTAATACTAGATTAATTATCTATTATAGATTATACAACCTTTTTTCAAATTTATAACTATATTTTCAAAGTTAAAAGATATCACTATTTACTCTATATTTAGTATCTATAATACACTTTTTGACTATTTGGAGAAATTAATTAATTAGCTTTGAAGAAAGAAAGTTCTTTGGAAGAAAATAATGCTTAAAGTTTTGGAAGCTTTTAAGTAGAAACTTGGGGATTATTACTATAATATTGAAGAGATTTATAGTGATCTATTTGTAATTGTAACTATTCTTGCTTTACAATATAAACTCTAGTTTTTTAGTAGCTAGGTAGAGGATGGGATTGATTATTCAAAGTGATATTAAAAAAGCCTTCGAACTTTTCTTACATTATATTAGCAGTGGCTACAAAAGAGACTAGGAAAGATATCTATTTAGTCTGATCTTGTTGAGGATATTGATGTAGATCTTGATTTAATAATTAGCTCTAGATGTCAAACTAAAAAAGAGAATAATAAGTTTATATAATATATCTAGCTTACTATGTACCTTCTTTCTATTGAAATTCAATATTACTAATATATATTAGGATTGGTAAAATTAAAGAGTATTCGTTAATAGTAGAAGGAGTATAAGACTGAATTTCTAGCTCTTGTAAGTCTTGCTTATAATGTTTTTATAATCTCTGCAATTGGTGCTGGGATTGAGCGTCTATTTAACTTAGCTCGTGATATCTACTATTATCGACGTGATTTATTGAATGCAAATATTATTAAAGATCTTATACTCTGGAAGCATGCTACTAAGTTCGAGGTTGAGTTTACTAAACTTGTGCTTCATAATGCATATTTGACTAAGCAGGATATATAGGCAAGGTAGAAGGAGAAGGATCAACCTCTCCAGAAATTGATAGAGCTTATTAGTAAGGATGAAGAGGGGGAGAATGAATCTATAGAGCTTCTAGAGAGACATCTAACTGTTATTATTAAGTAGAGCTCTACATACAGGGAAGAAGATAAAGAGATTGTTGAACCACCTCTTCCTCTGCAATCCTAACAATAGATAAGGAGAACCCGCAAACGAATTAGAAGAGATGATTTCATAGAGTATTAGTTGATATTCAGAATTAGCAGTGCTTTGTTAAAACCTCAATCTGATTCTAAATTTCCAATCATTAAATGATCCTAACATCTTTTATTTGATGTGTAAACAAAATACATAAAAATACAGTTGAATTGTGCATAATTTATGTATTTCCTGTTTGTCTTGTTTGACCAACCCGTTTTACCCGCATAACCCGGCGGGTTTCAAAACTGGAACCGTGACCCAACCCGCGGGTCGGGTTGGTGACCCGTAAACCCGTTTCTTGGCGGGTTTTGGGCAACCCGTAACGGGTAACCCGCGGGTTGTGTCGAGGTCTAGTGTTAGGAAGTGATAGGACTGTGATTCGAACCCATGACCTTGGGACCAGATCCCTGCACCAGGAAGAGACGGGAGCCCAACATGCGTCTGCTCCAGGCAGCACCCCCATTTATATAGATCCTGCTAGCTCTCTCTCTCTCCCTCTCCTTTCTTCCTCAGTTCTATTATCGTCGTTTCTTGGACCATAAAAGCGATCTTTTTCTTTTGTGCTTTGCCTGCCTAACACTTCATATAATAAAATCATCAATTGACTTGACCAGCCATCTCCATTTCTGTACAAAATTTATTCAAGAAACGCATATTGCCGTTTGTTTGCTTCGATAATAGCTATGATTAAATTATTTTCTTTGACCAACCCTGTCAAGAGAGAACCAGCACAGCTGGCTTGTTTAGGTATCGCTGAATCTGGAAACCTTATTTTCTTTCCTTTTATGTAATTTTAGATCTAATTTTTTTACATAGGTACGCTGATCATTTACAATGATGATGATGATGATTTTATTACCTCGACCCCTCGCGAACGATAACATGAGTTCATTCGGAATTATACCCTAGCCACCTTCTCTAAGCAAATTCACTATCTTATCTCGAAATGGCTTGGTATGACCAATCTGACAGATTTACCCTGGCTGGGTGTACCTTGAATTCAGAACCCACAGAGAAAAAAGTGGTGGGTGGGACACCCACATACTTGTCCAGTGTCGCTTGGCATAGATCAAGAGTAAAGTCGGGAACCGCCTTCATGAGTCTGGAATCAATCACCGGAAACAACCCTTTTCGAAGATTCGGCAAGTTGTCAACTATCACTTCAATGGCAAGTTGCCTTAGCTGCTGATAGTCGGCATGTGTCGAATAGAGTTCCTCAATCGTATCCGCAAAGGTTGCTCTTTTGGGATTATCCATAATAGATGCAAGAAATTGCGCCTTTGCTTTGGTTTTCAAATCACTGATCATGAAATAATCTGCTTCGCCATACATGCGCACATGAAAGTAGCATGAATGACAGTCAGCCAATTTATCGACGATTGGCTCCAACTCAACACCTTGCTCGAATAGTTCCTCTGCGGGGTTTTCGTCAGTCGGGGCCGGTTTATTTTCTACCGCTGATCCATCCACCAGACCCTCCGTAGTCTCAGTAGCCGTCACAGCGGCTTCATTAAAAAGCTCCGTCATTTCCGTGGTATGAATATGCATACCAGATCCTTCGGATGACGAGTCCAGCACTAGCCCATTCTCAACCCTTGTATTTATCTCTTGTCGTTCAGCACCCTCCGTGCCAGGGTGCATCGGTGTTGTTGCGAGGCGTTCGAGGGTGTAATCTCCGGTGTACAGAAATTCTAGCACTTTCTCGATGAGAATCGGGCTTCTTTCATCCAGATAAAGTTGCCCTTCGATTTCCTAGCAGCGAACAGCACTTGTCAGACTCAATTCACAAGAAACTCAAAGGTCTGATTTGTCTCACCTTAAACCCGCCATAAAAAGCACAGTGGAAATACTTTAATCTTAGACAAACGACAAGTCTATAAGCCAAGAAAGCCTCACCCTTGCACATTATTATCAAATCACTGTAGCTTGAGTTAAGATGTAAGCTTATTTGACGTTAATAATGAAGCGCTATAAGATTTCAACCCGATTGTTCGGTTCTCACCTAGCAATGAGAGTGAGAATAGTTTCCTGATCCTCCATACTTTATTTGTCGGACGTGGGGGGGTGTCAGGCTCTAGATCCTTGGTCGAAAAGACTGAAATCTTGGCTTTTTTCTTCACCATAATTGGGCACCAAAAGAAGAACAAAAGTCTTTTCAGTTTGGCAAACGAGAAAGCTATATATATAAGCAAGCCAGAATTACTTGAAGTTTCTGGCATTTGCTTCATACGTTGATAAATTCCTTCTTTTGTTCATATGTGCCCTATATGCATTACTGCCTAACCCCGCTTGTTCCAAACCTGTCGTAATTATGGATGGACAAATTACTACAGTACAAATATATCATGTGATTAATAGTATTGAGAGTTAAATCACAAAGCAGTACTTCCCTCGAAACACTCATGTTTTGCTTCTCGGTCAGTTCTAAACACCTCAATATTCGTATTAGGATTAGTAGCAAACTAACCTGTACCTACACGATATTTACCAGCCTTGCTTGCCGCACATACAGGGAGGATCGAAATTAGTTTCACCACTTGCACACGGAGAATCTATCTCGAACCCCCTCTTGAAACACGCTATACTTATTACAGTTACTCTTCCCCTGAACCCAGGTCTTGGCAGTAATACAATACACGTTTAAATAACAGCTTAAAATACCTTCTGTATTAGACCTGTATGGTTCTAAGGGTTTCTAGAACCTTGATAATGGAACGCTTACTACACTCAGCAGCTTGCGCCATTTGCGAGGCAGTCAGTGATTTACTCAGTATCAAGTTCTGGATCATTTCGAGCTTTGAGAGAGGTAGTCTTGGCGCTATATCGCGAAAGAAAAGCTGGATATGGAGGAATTTTTGGCAAGGATTAGTGGGAGTTCCAAATGGTGCGACGCGAGCGACTCTATCTGCTCACCCGTATGCTCAGTGGGCAGGGGAAATAACTTTGGGTGATATGGGGAATAGCAGGTATTAGGAAATACACGTGACCTTGCGATCTTGTAAGAGCCTAGCAGCACATCTCTGCGGACCTCAGAAAAAGATGGCTAGAAATGGCACACCAACCCTCGGTTATGTAATCACCAACTGGGATCCAATGCTTCTTTTATTTGATGGGTATAGCGATCTCTTCAAGCGAGAAGGGTCAGATATTTTATTCGGAGAATGCTGGCTGATTACACGCGCGATCTGACTTTGGGATCGGGTCGTTCCGTTCCTGGGAACAACATTACCCGCCCCCACATGGAAAAAGGCTCGTTATAAAACCATTCAGTAAGCGATGTGGCGACCAGAAAGGCACACTTTATCTGCCTAGCTGAGCACACGAGAGTCACATGATAACGAGGCTGAGGAATTTCCCCCTCTTTCAGTTCGTTGGGGTCCTACTGAGACTCCCGTTATAACCAATATTAGAACTTTCTATAAACAACTACTCCTCCTCACCGTCTTCTGCTAGAAGATAGAGTGTACGACACGTTACTTAATACCCACCATGGCTGAGAGTTCCCAATCTCAGCCAGAGTAATCAGTGTCAGGACATAACAAACCTAGTCCCGACACACCACTATGCCGAAAGCGACTCCAACATAATGCATATACCATCGGATAGATATACGCCCTCTTAAAAGAGCAAACCGTAGTTAGAGCTATACTAGATGAAGAATACAAGTCTCTCCCGATCTCTCAAAATAATTATAACGTATATACTCTTAGCTTAATACGCGATTACAACGTCATCATAACCTGTTTATCCAATATAGGAACTAACCCTACCGCAACCGTCGCGACCTCTATAATAAACACGTTCCAATCAATCAGGTTCGGGCTTATGGTGGGGATTAGCGGCGAAATCCCTTCAAAAATCAATTTAGGTAATATAGTAGTTAGTTAACCTATTGTTAACTATTATAGGGTTATTTAATAGGATATAGGGAAGCTGGAACGGGATAGGCGGTTTGTTCGCACGGATTTGTTAAACCAACCCCCGAACGCGCTACTCAATACGTTGAACTAGCTAAAAAGTAATTATAAGATGTATAGATTATAGATAAATAAGTATCTAGATAACATAGAAAAGAGATTCCCGCGACTAGCGTCAAGATATACAAGATATAAAGCCTTGTAAGACTCATTCTTGATATCCAAGAGATCTTAGACTTCAAAAGAAATCTATTTCCTATCTTAGTTATAATAGGCGACTATCATATTTATCGTATATCTTCTTAGTTTATAGGCCATTTATCTAGTAAAATTAAAGAAGGTGCGATTAGCAGATAAGGTAGAGGACACAAGGATCTCGAGAGAAGTTAGGATTCATTATAGCCTAATTGCATCCAGAAATAAAGTGGTTAAGGATATATAATCTCGAGATCTTTTTAATAAAGCATTTAGCAGGCATTTACTATACATAGAGATAGAGGTAGCTAGGCTTATAAACAACTTCTTATATATTGTTATCCGAGGTATTTATGATTATATGGACTTGGGAAAAGAGAAGGCCTAGTAAGAATATATTATAGCTATAGCTGCTACGTATACAAAGGAACTTCTAGGATATGTGTAACCTAGTAATATTGATATTAAGGATCCAGCAAAAATTATATTAGAAAAGGATTAGTATATATCTATTTGAATAAATTATATACGGATATCTAAAGTGCCTAAAATACCTAAAATATGTAAATTAGACTTGAAAAATATTAATATTTTAACTTTAAACAATCTAACAACAGATCGATAGCGTATAGTAGACAATAGATATAACAAGAGCTACTATTGATTTTATCAGATCCAGCCTTTATAATAATAGGATTATATGCTAGTTTTATCCTCCGGATCTATCTTCAAACACCAGCCATGCCAGAGAGCTTCACCACAAGAGGATTAGCACCTGGCTGCTCAAATCCCTCGTTTTTCAAATATGACGCTTAGGGTCACAACAATAGTTATGGCTGTATAGACTCACAGGATATAGAAAATCGATTCTTAGTACGATTATACTTAATTATCTTACGAAAAGAAACGATAATCTTATTCTTAGTTTTTTCTTTAACTTTAACAACATCGCAAAACAGATATTAAAGGGTATACTGCACTCGCTTGTTTTCTAACTTTACTACAGCAAGTTGGACTCCACAAATCCCTTTAATACTTTTTTTTGACGTACTAGAACGGTAGCGACCAACCTAGAACAAAAGGGCTTTAGAGTGTTGTTTTCAAAATACTTGTATCCTAGAAAAAAGTCTACATTGTTCTAGACGTATTGAACGAATCAAAAATAAGAGACAATATACTCTCTTAGATTCGGGATATAATATCCAGACCTAAGTTAGTCCATACTCAATTACTTCTTATCGGTCGACCTAAATCGAAGTTACTACGCGACATTCTAGATTTGATAAGAGAGAAAGGTTACCTCTCACTTAATAAGCAGATAGTTAACTCCGATATCTAATCATAGGTTACAACATAACTTTCTTAACAGCGTGATTTTATAAAGAAGTCTTTGTCCTAAAACCTTTTAAAAAAGATCAAGAAAAAAATTAGCGACGGTGCTGACGGAATATGAGATTACTGCTTCGATTAATATATTAGTAGCTAACTAATATTTTAATCAGGTTTAGGTAGGTATTCTATTAATTAGACCACCTAGCTCAATATCCTTATAAAGAAGATATAGAGAAAGCTCTCAAATCTTTACTACGAGATCTTAATAAGACATACAAGCGATTGTTTGAAAGCATACCAATAGAGTTAAAAAATAACGCGATACGACTTTTACAATTCCTTATACACTCCAAGCGATCTCTAACCCTGGCCAAAGTTAAAGAAGTAATAGCAACGAAGATTAAAAACCACTCGCGAGGGTTTTATATAAAATGTCGATTATTTTACGAGACTAACATCTTGGCTTACTATCCTAGTTTAATGATAGTTGTCCATACTAAAGGATTGTTTTATACCAATTAAAAAAAATTGTATCTTGCCTATTTTTCTATAAAAGAATATCTTCTTAGCCATGATCTATTCTAGATCATAGCTGCGAGTATTTCTATTACAAGGACATACTTAATATATCTTATAGATATCAATGATAGCAAAAAGGAGATAAAGCGGGATTTTCCGATGACAAGATATACGACTAAATTTTAGATATGCTATAGTGCGTTAGCTGAAGTTTACGATAAGATTATGCGAATAATAGTCAGCTTTCTAGAAGAGGAAACCACATTCCAACGATAGGCCTGTATACGTTAGGCTAATAAAGGTTAGTTTAGTCGCCCTAGTAGTTTACAAGGCTCTAGGCTCTATTTTATATACTTAAATAGGCTTAAAGTGCCTACACGCGAGTTAATTAACAAGGGAGCAAATGTCAACACATAGGGAGGCCAGCATGGCAACGCTCTCCAGACTACGTCAGCTGAAGGACATCAAGAGATTGTCAGCCTACTCTTAGACAAGGGAGTAGATACTAACGTGCAAGGCCGCTATTATAGTACCGCTCTCTATACTACAGCACAGACAGGCTATCAAGAGATTTTTAACCTACTCTTAGACAAGGGAGCAGATATCAATACGCAGGGCGGCTACTATAGCAACGCTCTCCAGACTGCCTCACAGAGAGGCCATCAAGAGATTATCAACCTATTTTTAGACAAGGAAGTAGATGTTAACGCGCAAGGCGGCTTCTATAGCAACGCCCTTCAAGCTACGTCACAGGGAGGCTTCCAGAACATCGTCAACCTGCTCTTAAACCGGGGATCAGATGTTAACACGCAGGGAGGCTTCTATAGCAACGCTCTCTATACTACCTCACAAAAAGGCCATCAAGAGATTGTCAACCTGCTCTTAGACAAGAGAGCAGATGTTAACGCGCAGGGTGGCCGGTATGGCAACGCTCTTCAGACTACGTCACAGAGAGGCCGTCAAGACATTGTCCACCTTCTTCAAAGAGCAGGTGCTATTCCATCATCTTTAAAGAAACCCTGCTCCGTGCCTCCAAGAAGCCTGGCGGAGAAATCTCACTTCAAGACTTTTTCGGAGTTTTAAAAATAATTTTGGGATGAACAGTCACTTCCACCAAAGTTTACAGCTATAGCTTGGCTTTAAGCCTCATCACTCTCATTGCCTCGCAGAATTTAGCTCTGCCTTGTCATTCAATCAGAATTCCAGAAAACTTCTACTCTAGGCGACAGTTCCTGTTCATCCCGAAATAGATTATATCATAATTCCACGTATAAAACGAAGGACAGTCCCGCTAGGATCCACAAACAAGCTCGAACTTGCTATTGCCCTCGATCCATAGGATCGTCAAACACCGCCGGGAAGATTCTTAGTCTCCCCAAGAAGTTTCAGAGAAAACGAATTTGATCATTAGTTATGTCGCCAAGGAATTCGACGTCGGCGAATATTAACCAGAGCCGTTAAAAAGAGGCAGATAACGTCCGTATACAGCCGATGAACATTTATAGACCGAAATAATCTAGGCCTATCCTCGTTCACTTGACTATATATGAAGTGTGTAAGCGTTTTTCACGTAATCTACAAACCCGAGACACGCATGATACAGGCTTTCAATACAAATCGGCTCTTGGATGAGGCTAAGCAGGATTCAGATTAGCGTGTTTAGAACGAGGGTTTGAATAAGAATATCTGTGTGCGGGTGGTGAAACTGATTTCGATCCTCCCTGTACTCGAAGCATTGAGTCACCAGACAAACCGCACCAGTCTGACAGATAATGGGATCTAGGATTTAATACACTTAGATAGTGCCCATAGCCCGCTCACCATAGAAAAAAAAGCTGAATTCGAAACTTTCTAACAAGTAAAAGTCCCAATATTGTACCACATTCTATACTGCAGCAACCACACCCACCGCGGTCCATGGATATCTTGTCCTGTCTGGTTCCAGCCTTGCCATGTTCCAAATACTCCGTGGGGAGGTACACAATCATATCGACCATAGCAATCAGCATCAACAATCCATCGAAAACATACATGAAAACATCATGTGTCATAATATACCCATTATACTCTTCCGTAAATTCAACTAAGCGGAAGACAGACCTCACCAAAGTAAGAAATCTGATAAGGTATAGTCCAATCAGAACAGTGAATCGATTTCACTATTTCCAACGAGAGCTCTATGATTCTAGTTCGTTTGCAAGAGCGGATATAGTAAAAGGTCGAAGTTTAGCCGGCTCTGCTTTGATACCATTTGAAAGGACTTCATCCTAGTCAAGTGCCGCAGTAGGTCTCCAAGTATTGGGCCTTTTTTGAGTAACTTCTGGGCCATACACAGAGGTTTTCTTGATGACATTGGCGGGGATGGGTATTTCCCATCGAGAAAAAAGATCCTCCGGGAGCACCTTCCTTCTCTCACTATTCTTAATCACGAGTTTGTCTTTCAAGGGATCATAGTTAACAGTGGAACTACCACCCCAGTTTCTAGTCACTCGTAAAATGCATTTAATTAGTACAACGAGTTTTGTAATAGCATCCTGATGAGTCTTTTCCCAGTCTTTCATCGCGCCAGTGACATCTTCCACTTTTAGTGTCGAGAATATTCCACGTTGATGATAAGCCCGGACAAGGTTGGGTGTTTGAGAAATCCAGAGTTGAGCCGCAACCTCTGTCAGCTCCAGAGATTTGTAGAAAACTCGAGTTTTAATCTCTAAAGTTGATTCCCGTGATACTATCCGACCTTCTCTCTTAATGGTCAACTTGGATTTGATAGAGGGCTCGTCTATAGAAGATATTTCCGGCATAAGGGACAAGAAATTCAGGATATTGGCAAGATTTTCCCCTATTAATTCGTCATCCTTTACACTGGATTTCAAATCTCCAACAAACCCGTCTGTCTCATAGCGCACAAGAAAACTCAGCCCACCCAGTCGATATAAGATTATGCGATAGTACCCAGTGCTATCTTTAACCTAAGTGATCATATATGCTTTTTCGAATTCATATCCAAAGCCCCGAAATTCGCCCGGCCCAATAACTTCATAGGTAGCAATCTCGTTACAGAAGAAGATCGCAGTCTAAGCGGTCATATCCACCTAGATGATGAATACATCGAGACCATTTTTGCTCAAATTCGGCTTGATAAACGACAGAAGTTTGCGAATATTGTTTCGATCGGTCACAATATCAATTAAGTTTATGTCGAACAAGGATTACTCAATATAAAGAGAGCGAAATAATGATTCTTGAGGGCTATCAGGATAACAAGCGGCATTCTGAGAAATATAAACAAGACCGCTATCTTTCTTCACTTGACGAGATCCTAGTAGAGCGGACCACTAAGCTGGACTGCCCGGGACAGCAATAGTAGATATTGATGCTTCGATCCAGTTATAAGACGCCAGATGCCTCACATCAGTAATTGTTGCTTCCACTGGAGCAGAAAATTCGAAGCTGAAGCGAGAGATCTCCTGGATCCCCTCGAAGATCGTTTTGAAATCTGACATTTAATAAAACAAATATCATAAGAATAGATGATATGGTAAGATAAATTCGCTTGAGCATTCCAAGCGTGGCATAACCTAGTTATAAGCCAGACTACTTAATATCTAATTAGCCCTTTATTAGTGCCAACACACACTCACAGAGATATATGTCGAGAGTGAATTACAACGTATCTAGGATACAATAGAGAATCAGCTATGAATATAGCTTTTTTGGAAAGGTGACCATAATAGAGGAAAGTAGAAGCATAATCTCGTCAAATTTGACGTGTGACCAACCTTCTATCAGCTTAGCGCATATACTGATGCGTTGTTCTCGTATATTAGCTTGCCTTGCTCGGTCGCATCCACGTCTAATTGGTCAAATACGCATACATATGTACTTCGTTCTAATACTAGATATATCACATATCTTAAAATTACTTATTGGCCCATAACTTCGTTTTTCTACTAACTACAAACAAGTACTACATATAGTCACCTTTGTCCAACGCGAAATTGGCGCGATCGGTGGTTGCCTCTTATACCTTTTACCATATAGATCATATACTCAACATAAATCCCCAACAACATATATGCTCGATAGCAATCTAACAAAACAGAGAAGTGAACATATCTTAATTCTTTAGTAACGGGGATAAATCTATAGTATGAAAAAGACTAGTAGAGCCATACAAAGAGGCTAATAATCTTGGATTATCTCATCAGAATTATTTTTCGCACGCTCTATAGATCCTAGTCTACAAGCTAAACCCCCAACTTCTTTCATTCAGCTAGTTGCAAAATACCATCGATATTCGGGTATCACATTATTCGAGTGCCCAATCTGCAATCAGGAAGGCCTAGACTACCCCACCCAATAAATGATGCATATGCAGCAAATTGGCTTCTGAATATCAAAATTCTAACCCGTGAATACCACAGCAATGGAATGTTGCGTTACAGGGTACCAGCGCATGATTCAGATGGATTAGTGTCGACTTCCATGGTTTGTTGCAGGCCGGCATTGACGGAGACTATGGTGGCCAAGGAGCGACATTTTTTGAGACCAGAGATTGCTAATTACAATTCGGCCTATTTACAATTTTAACATATAATCTACTACGTAGTCATTTTTCTTTCTAGTAGATCTCAACATTACACATATCTTAAGATATAAAATAAATCCTACCACTGCTTCTAATACTACTAATACTATAAAATTATCAGTAAAAGGACATTCATTTCGACATAGAAGATAGTATCATGTTCAAACATAAATAGCATGTCAAAGGCCTACAGCCACAGCTTCCTCCTCGATCTCTGTCTCGATACTCTCCTCATACTTCGTTAATCTTTGCCTTTCTTTACTAATATAATCCGATTTTTCCCCCGTACATATATCATAGTAAAAGTCCACACTATAATCCACCCACATCCATTCCAATTCGTTCCTCACAGATTTAGACCATTCCACAAAATTCCAATAATCGAGAATGAAGGTGCTGTCCACAAGCTAGAAATCGAATATACCCTCGTCAATACCATCTAATATCCAATAGAAATACTCAGTATAAGGTTGCCATTTCTTAAAGCCATCCTTAGTAATAACACTAAAATATCGAGAGCAATCACTCAAAATCTACAAGGCAATTTCTAGCACTAGCACCCTAGCACCAAAGCATCGTACTATATATACTAAATATATACCAAAGCCATGGCAATCAGCCGAAGAATTCGATATTCCTTCGACCATCCTGGTCATAAATATCGAAAAATTGGATAAAGAGCTTTCGTCGTTACCATAATCGAGATGCTTTTTTAGGTTGAGCTCTCGGCTAAGAAGTGTCTGGATTGAGACGATATGTACTACAAATTGTTCTGGGATCTGCCATTCGAACAAGTATTCATACTTGAACTAGACGGCTCTATCAGTAAGCTGTTAGGTATAGTGGTAGGATTTCTCAGCAGCCATAGTGATTGGAACTAATACGATGGTAATCTATATGGTACTTGAGTCCTCTCCATCGTTATAGTGTTTGACAAAAACACGGTGGAGAGCTTTGATGGGATAGTTACTAATGAAGACTAGAGCGGTTGGATATTTGTTTTTCTAGATTTTATGAAGCTCGAAATATAAGAAGAGTTTGGATTTGGATAATCGAGGATCGACGTATCTTAGGCTGTATGTTAAGCCACCAGCACTTTCTTCTGAGAAGTAACGGTAAAAGTATTGATTAGAGGGGCTTATGTTGATATGTTATATAACTCTTTGGAAGTGTAGGTATAAGTACTTGATCTCTTGAGGTTGAATTAGTTGATGAGGTCATCCCCACTATTCGGCCCAGGGGCTTCCAAGTAATTTGTGCATTTCAGGCATCAGCTTGATGTGTGTATAGTTATGTAGTTTTTATGTAATTTCTCTTCTCCTTTTTCTATCATATTCTATTAGGATTTAGTATAATTTATTGCCGAGAAATTACAAATATTTGTATCCAGCTTTTTTATCAAATAGTTATTGAGCGAAAGAATTTTTTCTTCTGGCTATTGAAGACTGGGACTATAGTGATAAGTACTAGCCTAATTTCCAACAAGCGGCAAAGAAACAATTTGTATCCTTTATAGAACTAGATATATGAATCTTATAAATTTATCTGATGATAGCCCCTTGAAAGCCGCGGATTCGAGTGATATACCAGAAAGTCTCTGGAAAGAAATCATAGCCGTACGCTCAATTGCCACAAATCTCACCTTCAGTCTCGCGAGTCTGGCCCTCTTTTGTTTTCCTGTTATTCTTTATAATCCTGGCTAAATGTTTTAGTTTAGTTATTCGTGTTCTATGTCAAGATCATCTCTTCTATCTCGGCCCACTGCATCATCGCCAACCTTGTATTACATAGGTAGAAGCTTAACCAATCTGATACTATTGCTGCATTCTAACATGATAATGTAGATTCGTCTATTCACATAAAGTGGCCCGAAGGGTTTGAAGAGGTAGGGTTTATGTGCTGGCTTCACCGCTCCCTATATGGTCTTAAGACAGCCCCGCGGATTTCGTACCAATGCGTCCATCGCGTACTAGCCGCTCGTAGCTTCAACATGGTACCAATCAGACACCTACGTGTTCTAGGAATACAAATATGTGATCTGTATTTATAGTGGATTAAAAACGATCTGAGATTCAACGATCTCAGAAGCAGCCGAAAAGGTGTACACCGCGACCGCTCTGCTTCTCGAATCTCAGAAGCAGCCCAAGAGGCACATATCACGACCGCACTGCGTCTTGTATATCTAGAATCAATCGCTACAGTGGCGACCGCATTCGCCTTCCATGTCAGGAACAGAAAGATCCTCTTTCAAATCCTAATCACATGATACGCTAACACAGATATGAATAGCGCGTAAATAATTGGTTTCGTAGCGAACGCGGTCATCAAAAACAGAAACTAAAGATACCAGTATGGAAGATACAAGGGTTCAGAACTAGACACGCTTGCTGGAAGATTCGAAGCAAACAAAGCAAACATGGCGATCCTGGAGCAGGCAATCTGTCAACCAATTCCTTCTCCACTACAAAAATTGATTGGTTGTGAGCGCAGGGTGCCTCGCCTCAGCATCAGCCTCACACCCCGCCTCTCCTGTCAAGACTGACATTCATTCCCAAGATCCACGACATCTTTTTTTGCCTTATAACTCTAATGAACTCATATGAAACTATTCAGATTTGAAAGCCAACGGTCCTATATTACATCATGGCAGCCAGTTCCTCTTTATGTCCTGACGATTACACGGTCGGATGGATATGCGCTTTACCCGTGGAGATGGCAGCCGCAAAGTTAATGTTGGACGCAATACACCCGAGTTTACCCCGCCCGTCGACAGACCAAAACAACTATATCCTGGGAAATATCGGGCATCACAACATCGTTATTGCCAGCTTACCAAGCGATGCATATAGAAATGTATCAGCGGCCACAGTGGCAATGCAGTTGCTCTCGAGCTTCCACTCCATCCAGTTCGGTCTGATGATTGGAATCGGTGGAGGTGTATCAAGCAGCAAAGCGGACATTCGACTAGGCGATATCGTGGTGAGCTAGCCAGCAGAAACGTCCGGAGGCGTGATCCAATACGATCTGGGGAAAGCGTTGAGCGGCGGGTAATTCCAGCGAACAGGGATGCTTAACCGGCCACCTCAGGTCCTGTTGACTACCCTCGCTACACTTCAAGCCCATCACCTCACAGAAGATAGTCGAGTTCTTGAATTTATCTTAGGGGTCCGAGCCAAAATGACGCCGCGGATAGCTGCAAACTTTGCCCGACCAACTAAAGAGGATCTCTTATACCAAACGGAGTGTGGCAGTAGTCTATGCCAAAGAACTTGTCTTGGTGGCTCCGGTCGATCAGATTCAAAGCACTCCAATAGTATGAGACGCTCTTGTGGATTCTGGTGAGAGAATCTAAATTTCAATTTGTGTTACTGCTTGCCTAGTTTGGAACCATGACTAAATGTGATTCTTCATGTGTAGTTCATCGCTTCAATGTCCCTCTAGACCTTAACGCAGTTCCCTTGATTTCAAACTTCGTGGGACGGCAAGGCGAGCTAGATAATCTGTGGTAGTGTTTGCAACCAGAAGACTCACCGTCACGGAAAGTTGCAGTTCTTCATGGCCTTGGCGGAATGGGAAAGACGCAGCTAGCGGTTCGCTTCGCACGAGATCATCAAAATGATTTTACGGCGATCTTCTGGCTGAGTGGTAAGGATCGCGAGTCGCTCGTGCAATCGTTGAGTGTTGTCTTGAGCCAATTACCAGGACAGACCTCGAGTAACGAAGCGAGTATTGATACAGATGTGGAGCAATAAGCCAGGTATATGTTACGATGGCTAGCATTGGATGGCAACTCTCGCTGGCTAATTATTTTTGACAACATCGATTATGATTCCTCCTTTCACGATGCTGACTCTGATGATTATAACATTGAGAAGTTTTTCCTAAACGCAGACCATGGGTCTATCCTGATTACTTCTCGACTTCAGAGGCTAAGTGATTTAGGGGAGCCTTTCCCAGTTCAAAGGCTTGACTCCGAAAGCTCGATTGAGCTACTCCTACAAAGCAGTGGTTCATTAGCAAGGAACACCACTAGCAACTTTGACAGCAATCCAGGTAGGATCGCACCGGATGAAAAGATCTTACAGATCATGCTGACTCATGGAGATACCCTTACTCTTGCCAATCGTCTGGATGGTCTGCCTTTGGCCATTATTATCGCCGGGGTGTTTATGCGTGAAACTGGAACCAGCATCACTGAGTACCTGCAGTACTACCAAAATTCTTGGTCTGAGCTACAGCTACAATCAAAACCTGGACGTTAGTACCAACAAGGCAATATACTGCAAACATGGATGATCTCATATCTTGAGATCCAGAGACGAGATCCAAGCGCAGCAGACCTTCTATTGCTACTTGCTCATTTTGATAATCGTGATATCTGGTACGAGTTAGTGGAGTGTGTCCGTCACAGCTCAAACATCCCGGACTGGCTCAACAAGGTGACATCAAGCGGACTCGCGTTCAAAGCCGGCGTGAAATCTCTCATCGGATTCTCGCTTCTGGAGAGTAAGCAACAAGAAGGAAGCTATGCGATGCACCCAGTGGTGCAGGACTGGTGCATTCATGTTGCCAGCGAAAGCGAAGATGTGAATCGAATGCAGCTTAATAAACTAGCATTGATATCTGTTGGATACTCTGTGCCCAGTGCGAGTGATAGAGTATATTCAGAGCTTCAGCAACGGCTTCTTCCACACGCTAATCATATGCGTCATTTAAAAATTTTAGATGACAATATTGAATTATGGGAAGCATTGCATAGTTTGGGGAATCTTTACTCCAACCAGAGCAAGCTGAAAGAGGCAGAAGAGATGCTCCAGCGAGCACTGACAGGCTATGAGAAAGCCCTCGGTCTAGATCATACGTCGACTCTGATGACAGCCAACAACCTTGGCATTCTCTACAAGGATCAAGACAAGCTGAAAAAGGCAGAAGGGATATACGTAGAAGAAATGCGAGACAGCCGGGAGGTCGCAAGTTCCAATGCTAACAAGGGATGTCGGGCTATAGACAAAGTTAAAAGATGGCTTAGATACTAAAAGGAAGATAATGGCATATCCATAATGCATATGGAAAGAATGGCCATGTCACTACAATATATCCACTATATCAGATAGCTACCACAATCATAATGGCACGGCGTTACCGTAGAGCAGGCCGTGACGAATTGCTTGATATACTCCAGACTCAAATAAATGTACAATATATTTTTGAAAAGAACGTAAGACAAATACAGGGAAGGCACTCAGAGTATTGCGAGTTAGCTATATATCTTGAAACGTCTTTTCGATCACCTCACTTCTCCTGGATCCCGACCATAAAGTCATATGGCAAAGTCAATAGAAGCAACCAGCGCCGGGCCTGTATGGTGAGGATATCGTGCGGTAGATTAGACCTAATTGGTTGTCGGCCTGGTATGTTTAGATCCGTAAAAACACATGTTTAAATACCATAGTTGGTATTTTACTTGTTCCGAGTCTTACGATTCACACTCAGAACAACTCCTGAAATTCAGGTCTAACCATATATGGATCAGAGTGCCATGTGATTAGGGTTTGAAAGAGCTTCTTTGTGTTGTTCGACATGGAAGGCGATAGCGGTCGGCACTGTATTTATTTGTTGGCTGCGATAAATTTTTTCTCTACCGTGTAACAGTCGGGGTCATAAATAAACGCTTGCCTTCAACTATTTTGCAAAATGTCGATATATTATACGTAACAATCCCTTCCTCCCTTTGGACCAGCGCTATATAATTCGCGATGATCGTTTTTTAGGTCTAGAATGATAAATGGGGTAATCAGGGAGAGGATGCAATAGATTGGAAAGAATAGGTATAGATGTTGATTGGCATAATCAGATCTTACTTCATTCTAGTTTCAATGTCACTGCAAATATGTTGATTACATATTAATACAATCCGACCCTGGAGAGATTGTACAATCGGGTTATTGCAAGAATAGTGTGTGAGCCGATGCGCGGAATGATTGGAAAGTGAGAAATGGAGAGTTACTAGTGACTGAAAAATCGTGTATTTCCATGATCTTCCACAATAGCTCAAATATCACAGTCCGTTTAATGGCTGGTATTGACGGCCTTTCTTTATCCAAGTGAACGGATCATTGAAGGCATCAATTATGGTGATACTAGTATGTCAATTTTACAAAATCTTCGATTTTTTAACCGTTATCTATTTCCCGTATAAATGAAATATTTAATTTTCATCTAGAAACAGCTGGTTATTACCTTGCCAAATAAGTGGGTCAATTTATCACCATCAATTAACTATTCTAAAAATAACACTGGACTATGTTGCGTCGGTCACTTTTGTTCTTGTGATCTTAATATCTCAGGCAACATTTTCCATTAAAATGTCAAATGGAGGGTTGTACCATACGAACAGAATACCGAAGCAGCCTAAATAACACAATTCAAATTAACAAAATATACAGAGGGATAGAATCAAATAAACAAAACACAGAAGAAGGGTTTTCTACTGTGCTGGTTAACCAAGTAACTGGGAAGTCAGAAATTAAATTTTGGTAGGAAAGTGTGGATGGGTGGTTAAATCAGCTGAAAAGTTGATTGTATAGAGTAACTAGAGAACTGTAATAAGAAACAGGCAATCAAGTGATGGCAATGGCAATGGCAGGGAGAGAGAGTGGAGTATAGATCCGATGAAATGAACAATCTGCTTAGCTGAGGGTTGAAGTAAACAGTTGTTTGTAGTTACTCGTTTTGGATATCATCACAATTCTCTAAGATCCCAATATAACCAAACAAACTAAACTATAAGGTCAAACCGATTGAACGATAGTAAAAAACATTCTTTGTATAGAAATTAGTTGACCATATCAACTATCTAGTTAAATCATCTCTTCCTCCCCTTAGTTGTCTATATAATCTGGCCAATAAACCTATTAAATGATCCGCCTCTAGTATTTCTATTAGTAGATCTTACTTTTCCTCCAGCCATAATAAAGTGTTAATCTTGACTAGAAAAGTCACTGCCCAGTGTGTATTTGTTTAATCCATCACTTGTCAAAGATATGTAGGCGTGATACTCTAATATTTGCAAACTCTAATATATAGGTTGGTGGGGTAAGTGGTGGCGACTCTCTGGTCATGGCTGTTCTCAGCTACATACCCTAATCGCCTGTTGATCATCTGATTTTCTATTTGTAAAGCTGTTAAATAACCGGGCTAGCAATACAACGATATTGAAGCGGCTCTATCAGAGGTTAATTTGGCAAAAACAATGTACGAACCCAAGGACCAATGGGAGGTTGTGATTTTTTTGTGTTTTTTTGTGTAGAGTTACGGAGTTTTCGATGCTGTTCGTTTCTAGGAAGTTAAAAAACGAATATATTTTAAGTAGAATTGAAAAACTTAGGATTCGATTGATCTATATAGGTTTGTGGCTTACTATAAGTTTGATTGTGAGGAGTCTGAATATCTATTTATATTTATATATATCATTATCGTCTCGTCTTGCCTTCAAATTTTGAGAAGTTTATTATGATAGGTAGTTCGCGGTTTAGCTGATTTGTTCCAATCCTGAATTGCTCTCAGAGTAAGCTGTAGTGTAAATAGAGATGAGGCGATAGAATGTTAGTATTTTTTGTTATATTAACTTTAGGTTTTGTATTTGAATTAGGTAAAAACGTATTAAAAATAGAAAGTAGACAAGTTTTTAATTTTAATATTAAATCTTGAAATGGTTATAGTTTAATATATAAGTAAATTATAACTAAGTTATATCTTTTTATATAATTGAATATTAATAATAAAACTTAATTACTTATGAAATCTACTTGAAGCAAGACTGTCGGAAGCGCTGCCCTTCTAAGTTGTAGTTAGGGTGGATTGCTGAGGCGAAATTCGTCGGAAGGCCTTTTCATGCATCAAGTACATGAATACATAACACTTGAGCTCGGCAGATGCGCTTTTCCCTTTTCGGTAATATAAACAGAGTATGGGTTTAATTCAATTTGGAAATAGATCTGCAGCCTGAGCGTTCAGCATGTAATCACCTCTGCTCAGTGTCTCTTGAAAGCAATAACACACATTTTACTAGACAATTTCTCCCTCGATCAGCCACTTCCTTAGATATGCCGAGCCTTTAGATCAAAAGAAAATTTTTACATACTATTTCTTAATCATCCCTGCCGTATTCAAATATTTTCTTGTCATAGTATTATAAGAATCCTCACAACGTGACCTAGCTCAGACTCTATCCCACATATTGAATTTTATCTTTTCCATTATAATACCTACACTTCTATAACAGCGCTTACAATAGACCTATCTCATTTCTGTTCAAACATGAGTTCGTGAAGATCGCTTTGCATCGAGGCGGATATCTAGGCCACGAGCTGTGTACATCAATCTATAATTTTAGTTTTAGATAAATATCTTTATAAATTTTAATGTAGTGTATTTAATATACGTTTGCTTGTATAAGCTTGCCACCGCTATTTCAATTTTTAATATAAAATTACGTCTCCCTTCCGGTCTTCCACTGTTTTTTGAAGCGTATGTATCATTTATTATCGCTCTTTGTGTATGCCTAAAGTGAATTATTAATCACGATCATGGAGAATAATACCAAGCTCGAATTATTCCGCCGACAATGACACGAAAAGCTTTTAATTAAATCGAATCCTAAGGCTTCTCTTGTTGTAGCTTTAGCCTCAACTACCCCACTTTGGACTAAGAACACAATACCTGTTACGACATGGTCTATGTATTAAGCTTTTTATAATAAGATATCTAGCCTGTTAGTCAAAGCAAGTCTTTATTTTAAGTTTTATAAGGATAATGATAAGACAAAATACACTCGAATGTGCGATATAAATATTATAGGCCGTTTTCTGTGTAATAAATGAGTATATAAGTCCAAAAGGTGGTCTAGCAAAATGATTGCTATTACAATTCGTCTTTATCCAGAACAAAAGTACAATACCAGGGTATACCATTAATATTGTAAAACTTGCAGCTTGTTAAGCCGACCAGTTTCAGACCAGTCATACACCAAGAGAATCGTTTACTAGATTAAAAAATAAAATAGAATTCGGGTGGAGAGGCCTCCATCATCCAACAAAAACAGAAGTCTTTATAACAGTCAACTTTATGAGGGTTGTAAAGCTAGGTACTACTCTAAATTAAGGAAGGATTGGGCTACTCGGCTAGAAATATTTATCCTTTCTAAGCTAATATATATAAATTAAGTTACTAATTAATTGTTAGGTTAACTTTATAGCGAGTTAGAGCTAGATGGTTGATTAAAGGAATACAAACAAAGAAATGAAACCCTATTTATATTATTCTCCAATCACGAAATCATACCAGTATAAGTGTATCTTAGGGCCATAACTATTCATAAATTACAAGATTTTCTATATCTCTCCTAATAGTATAACTTGTTAGAACAGCCAATTTCGGAAATAGTTTATCTTTTAGATATATATATTGTGTTTTCTCGCTCGTACCCGAAACGCAGTTTTTTTTGGTTTCTTACTAGCTTATAATTAGCCCTAGCCTATCATTAGATGTTATTTTATCACTTATCTAACTTAAGATAGCAACTGTTTTGGGTATGAGCTAAGAAATAATGTGAGTGTACTTGAGAGATAAACTGGTTTTGAATTCTGCTGTATATAGCTGATTATTGTAAATATTTGATTAAAAAAGTTAGAAACTAATAATAATTACTCGAAACAAGATTCATTATAATACTGAAGTAATCTATTAGATTGTTGGAATAAATAAATATATTTCTTCAAATATTATATCTTTAGTATTATATCTAGTAGGGAAAACTCCTGTCGTTTCCAGCTATAGAAACCCAATAAAAAAGACTCTACTCTTAAAAGCTAGAAATGAATGCAAAGGCCTAATCGAAGAATCTAGAGAACTGTAGGTGCTTGTGTATCTTGAAGTTAGAGTTAGGAATTAGTTGGCCGTTAAAGTTTGTGATTTAGTCTTTTCAATAGCGAACGAGGTTCTCGAGAGATTTATTGTTGGCTTTGAAAGGGTGATC